TTTTATTACTTTCTATATAATCATGAAGTACATAATGGATATATCTTTTCCAGCAAATTAGTTAACTGATTCACTTATGTCAGTAAATCTAAGGCACTCAATAAATACAATAACTAAAAGAAAATGTAATAAATGAAAAGAAGTTTTTGCAATTTTATACCTCTTAAGCGAGTTGCATAAAAAACACTTCAGAAGACTACTGAGGAAACCTTAAGTTACTCTTAATGAAACTTAAGTGACAAAAAGACTGAGAGTTTTTACGAATAAAGCGGATTTACACAACGTACAAGATTCCAATTTTAGCTTTTCGTTAAAGGAAAGCAAATGGGGCAACTTTGCCCCAAACGCTGATGTATCTCCAACAATACACCAGCAGTCGAACATCTGAACACAACTCAAACCAGATATTTCAGTCTTGAAAATCCATATAAGGCTGAGGGACGTTTTATTTTACGCGTGCCACCCCTGTATTTGACACGAACTCTGCTTATATCTACGTGGAGGAGAGGGTTGTTTTGACTTGTCCCCGGCATTTGAAGAACGCCCGCTCCGGTTACATCGCTCCCTCCGCGAACTGACTGACTGATTGCCAGCCTGTCCGGACATAAAAGGCAGCAGCCACCTCCGAGTAGAAAAACAAGGCAGAGCAAGCGACACCCTCCCCATCTCTTGCGCAGGAGCCTACCGGGCTCAGCAAGAGAGAAAAGAAGGACGACCATTGCCCACCCACCTCGCGGCCGGTGAGGCAGAGAGACTCAACACGAGTCAACCTTCTTTGGTGAACAGGAAGGACACCCGACGCCGGCCAGAGGCCACGCTTCTACCTCCCAACAGAGCCAATCCTGAAGCACACCAAGAACACCCGGCATTTACCTTAACCAGCCTCTTCGCCCGGGAGGCGCGTTTACGTCTTTTTTTTTTTTACGCCTGCCGTAAATAAGGCCGTCTGCGTGGTTGCTTAGGAAGGGCGCGCGACTGGAACAGGCAACTAACGGAGCAGGGGGCGTGCGTGGGACACCCGGGGATTGGTGTTTTGATGCGCATGGGCAAAGAGGCGGCAACCACATGCGGGGTTGGGAGGGAGGAGGGAGGGAGGGTGGTTGGAAGGGCGGGAGCTCTGATTGCTTCTGTCGTTTTCCGTCCCCTTCGCATAGGCCCGCCCTCGGAGGGTGGGGGCAGCGGCTAGAGAGCGGGAGGTAGTTAAATAACTGGAATAAGGATCGAATATCAGGAAGCCCTTAGCCCGCACAGACGACGAGGGCGCCACCCTGCAAAGGAGATCGCTGCTTTATCTGCCGCTCGGGCCGGACGGTGGAGGAGGCTGCCGGCGCGCTGCTGGTGGCGGAGGTTTATTTATTTATTTTATGTATTTATTTGATTTGTCAATTGTTTACAAGATAATAAGTATAAGTGTATACATAGATATGAATACATGAAATGGGTACAGATAAGAAAAATAAAAGAAAAATAAAAGAAACAATAGGACAGGGACGGTAGGCACGTTGGTAGCGCTTATGCACGTGATAGCCAGCTTTTTAAAGTCTAGCCCTTAGGATATATCCGCGCTGAGGGCAAAGCCCTAAAATGAAAGCTCAAGAAAAGTCATCACGGCAGCTGTTGCTTTATCTATTCTGTATTTTTCAAACCATCAGGAGAAGAGAGAGAATACGTTCGTTACGGCGGTGCCCGAGAGAGGAGAGCAGAGCAGAACAGAGCTTTCCTTAGGAAAATAGCTTCCTCCTCCAGCCTCTTCCCAATCTGGGAAGACCACTTGGCTGAAGCAGAGACCCTCCGATTCTGGTGTTGCTAGTGTTAATAAATTGGCTTTGTTAGCTATTTTGTCCCTCTTTCCTATTTTCTCTGGTTTAAAAGAGGGGGAAACAAAGTATGGGCAATGGTTACTTCTCCATACCACAGTATAGAGAATAAAGAGTTTAAAACTTTTATTGATAGTGCAGTTTAAAGATGCAAGTTGTTTGCTGTGCTTAGTTCCTCGTCCAATTGATTAGAATTCTTTATTGGGCAAGTGTGAATTGGACACACACGGAATTTGTCTTGGTGCAAATGCTCTCAGTATACATAAAATAAAATAAAAGATACATGAGTCAAGAATCATAAGGTACAACACTTAATAATAGCCGTAGGGTACAGTAAGCAATCAAATCATACAAGGAAACAGTCAATATAAATCGTATGGGTACCAGTGAGAAAGTTACAGTCATACAGTCACAAGTGGGAAGGGATGGTTGATAAGGAGTGATGAGAAGATTAATAGTAATAGTGCAGACTTTGTAAATAGTTGGACAGTGTTGAGGGAATTATTTGTTTAGCAGAGTGGTAGCATTTAGGAAAAAACTATTCTTGTATCTAGTTGTTCTGGTGTGCAGTACTCTGTAGCGTCATTTTGAGGAAAGGAGTTGAAACAGTTTATGTCCGGGATGTGAGGGGTCTGTAAATATTTTCACAACTCTTTTTGACTTGTGCAGTGTACAGATCCTTGACTGAAGGCAGGTTGGTAGTAATTGGGGTTTTATTTTCAAATTATATACAAGTTTTGACTTTGGAATTGCATTACAGGGAGAAAGAGATTTGATGGATAAAAGATTGATCGATAACTGGCTAAAATTTGTCTCGGGACAGAGTAAATGTTTCATTAGAAAGGATCAATTGAGTTTCAAAATGGGCTGCAGAAAATATTGATTGCATGAGGTTTACCATACTTTGACTAGGTATGAAATTTCATCCATACAAGTCATAATGGATCAGACAGTAGCCATTTACCAAGGAACAATATGTAATAAATATCAGTTAGAAGTCAACTTGAACACCACTGGCATTGACAAAATCAACACCAGTCAATTGCAAAAGGCATCTTTATTTGGAATAGCTTTCATCCTATGACAGTATCTTTTAACACTATCAAACATTATCTGCCTATCCCAAGTCCTTGTGAAAGATTCAATGGGAGGACAAAAATGTGAAATCTAGTCTAAACATCTGGCTGACTGTGTGACAAACCATAATATTAAAAAACTATCACTTTGCAGGACATTTGGAAATGAATCAGCATCTCATTCAGCTCTTGCAGTGCTGGTCTTATGCGACATATCAGATTATTTCCTTTAGATGTATGTTGCATTACCTCCTGTCTTTAAAGGCAGTCCTGTGGAGTTGGGATGGAAATTGATAGAGGCATGAATGTGGCTGTTTGTACTTTCTATTACAAATATATATAATTGCATATATTGAAGGCCAAATTGTACAGCATTGGGTTCCACTTATTTTTAGACTAAAAGGTAAAGGTTATCAACATTTTGATTTGATTTTTCATTCCCCCACTTCCTATTCTTAAAAACATTCATACACACTCCAGATAGTTTGTTCACTTTATCATGGTTTGAGCTACAGTTAGAACTTAAATAGGGAAGCTGAAAATACTGTTCCTAATGATGTCCTGATTCGATAATTCAATGAAAAGATTGGACTGGAAATATTTTCAAATACAGAGCAAAAGGATAGTATATGAATGAATCGGGAGAAATGGGATAATGTAGAAATGTTGTTATAAATAAATAAATTTATTTGCTTTCAAGGCAAGAACAAAAAAAGATTTATTTATTTATTTATTTATTTTAGTATTTGAAATGTGGTGGTATCAGCAAGGACTGAGTTTCTTGCCTTCTGCCCTGGTTATTTTAATATCTGCTGCTTGTGTGTTTCCATACATTATTGGAGTTCTCTTACACCATGTTGACCCTTTGCTACCCTATATCAGGTCAGTATACTTTCTATTTTTGCACTGCAATTTATTTTCTAATGTTACAACTATGAAACTTTACTTACTCTCCTGTTTGGGCTGAAAGAAAATGAGTGTCTCATAGTTATCTTTTGATTCTTCATGACCATTCTTTAGTCTCCTCAGTCACAAGCCCCAAACCATACAATATTCACTGTTGCATTTATTTTTTTTAAAAGGAATATTAAAGTTGGTATATTGAACTTTCATTTACTTTTGGAATTAGTGTATAAAACCTTTTCCTTTTCTTCCTTCTCTCTCCACCAGATCCAATTTTGCTGTAAATTTAAATTCTTATATATAAATCTTTTATATTTTCCAGATTCTTAAAGCCTCCAGCTCATGGGTGTCCAACCTTTTGGTTTGCCTAGATCACATATGGACCACCTATAAAATATTATATATAAAACATATAAATAACAAACTTCCATTATCTTTTTAAATATTGTTATTATGTCTTGTGAGGCCACGTTACTAGTTCAGGGCCACATGTGACCCATGGACCACAGGGTGGACATCCCTGCTCTAGCTAATTAGTAGAACTTTAGACAGCTCATTCTAAACACAGAAACTATGAAAATAATTTTTACTATTTTGAGATGTGGTGTAGTTTTGACGAACTAAGTATTCTCTTTTGCTGGTCCCTTGTAATAGACATGTAGTTGCTTTGAGTCAGGGAGACCAAAATGTAGTCTGAAACACTCAACGTCTTTAGTAGATCAATTTTTAGTTCTAAAGCAAGTCAGCTGAAGTTTATTGTACTTTATTATTAGGGAATTAGAGAATAAAGAGATTTGAGGATTTGCATGTACAATTGTACGGTATAATGTTAAGGTACAGTATATTCTTTCCCTTCCTCCTAGTTCAAGCTGCTGCTTCTGTTTTAAAGCAAGCCTTGGTTCTAAACCAGTTTGATATATTGCTCCTCATAAATTGGCATTTGCTTATGAATTTCAAGACTACAGTATCTATTATAAAGATATTTGATCTCTTATATATTATCTAGAAAGCAATAGCCTAGGCCTGGGTTATAGATGATATTTTGTAAGTATTGTATAATTGAAGCTGGAAATAGTATATCTCTGCAATGCTTTTCTTTCCAAAATAGCAGTGACTTTTAGCAGTGCAGTTCCTTGAGTTATTTGATTTATTAAAGTATAAATTCATTATTATTGATATTATCAATGTTTGATATCAATTACTACTTAGGGATTTTAGTGACATCCTTGGCTTTTGACGTTGGAAGATTATTTTACCTCAGTGTTCTTAAATGAAACTGAGAAGAAATATTAAGAATCAGATTTATGTCATATCAACAGTCTTGTCACTCTGAACTGACATATAAAACATGCGTAACTGCTTATGCTATGTAAATATTAGCCATTATTTACAAATATGTGTTTCCTGTTTCTAAATGTATATACTTTGATAAGTATAATTGTGCTTAGTTTACTGTATGACAAACTATTTCAATACAGTTCGGCTGGATCTATTTTAGCACCTGACAAGTTAGGGAAATTCCTTTCTGAATTTCTTTCTCTGCCCATTATGCACCTGTGTGCTGCACCCTCTTTTATCTGATCATTTTCTGGGAAGCATCTCTTCCCCCATCTTCTAAGGTCAGTCTCATATATTTTTTGAAAGGAGAGAAAAATAATTGGATATATTGCTAAGCTTAGCTGATTCTAAAAAATTTAGCAGGCTCAGATGTTGGAGTAGTTGGATAAAAAACCTCCAGGAGATCCCAGATATGCAGGCTAGATATGGAATTTTAAAATATATATCATGGAGGTAGGCAAACCACTATCCTGCAAGAATTTACGTAGTTATCAAAGAAATCTTTATCTTTACTCATACTATATTACTTATCATCAGTGTCAACATTAATAATGGGTGTTAGTTGTGTATTCCATAAGTTTTGTCATTCCAATTGCATTGCAGGATGCTCAGTATCATACGTTGCTTATCTTTCAGTGATTTAGGGACAACACCTCCAGAAAGATCCTTGTTTGGAATAACGTTTTGCTTTACTTCCATGTTCTGTAAGTACATAAAAATAATACTGAGCTTCTGAGATTGCTTAGATATGGGCTTTAATGAGACTACAGCAGGGGTGGGATTCAAATTTCTTAACACACAGTTCTGTGGGCGTGGCCTAATTTGTGGGTGTGGCTTGGTCATGTGACTGGATGGCTGTGGCTAGGTCATGTGACTGGGGTAGGCATGGCTAGATGGTCATGTGATGGGTGGGTGTGGCCAGGTGGCCATGCGACTGGCAAACCAAATATAAGAGGTTCTTGTTTAATGGCCAGATGCTTAACAAGTGTTCTGATTTACAACTGACCTCCACAGAGCTACTTGACCAGTTTTTGGTGTTTTGACAGCGATGCACACAGACACACACACGCACACACACTTATGACCAGTTATAATATCCCACACAGTCTTGTGACTAAGGTTTTCTGTTTTTTGTCAGTTTCCAAGGCTGTGGGTAGCCCTGGAGAGGGCAGGGCGACGCCCAGGGAGCTACGGGGAGGGCTGGGCGAGGTCTGGGGAGCTACGAGAAGGGCAAGGCGAAGCCTGGGCAGTTACGAGAAGGGCTGGGTGAGGCCTGGGGAGCTACGGGGAGCTTCAGGGAGGGCAAGGAGAGGCCCGGGTAGCTATGATGAAGGCAAGGAGAGGCCCAGGCAGCTAGGAGAAGCTATGGGGAGGGCAAGGTGAGGCACGGGCAGCTACGCGGAGCTATGGGGAGGGAAGGCGAGGCCCAGGCAGCTATGAGGGGAGCAAGGCGAGGCCTGAGCAACTACAAGGAGGGTAAGGCGAGGCCCAGGCAGCTATGAGGAGCTACGGGGAGGGCAAGGCGAGGCCTAGGCAGCTATGGGGAACTATGAGGAGGGTAAGGTGAGGGCCGGACAGCTATGAGCAGCTACGGGGAGGAAAAGGCGAGGCCCAGGTAGCTATGGGGAGCTATGAGGAGGGCAAGGTGAGGCCTGGGCAGATACAAGGAGGACTGAGTGAGGCCTGGGGAGCTATAGGGAGCTACGAGGAGGACTGGGTGAGCCCTGGGGAACTATGGGGAGTTATGAGGAAGGCAAGGTGAGGCCCAGACAGCTACGAGGAGGGCAAGGTAAGGCCTGGGCAGCTACGAGGAGGACAAGGCAAGGCCCAGGTAGCTATGAGAAGGTACAGGGAGGGCAAGGTGAGGCCCGGGCAGCTACGAGGAAAGCTGGGCGAGGCCTGGGGAGCTACAGGGAGTTACGAGGAAGGCAAGGCAATGCCCAGGCAGCTACAAGGAACTATGACGAGGGCAAGGCGAGGCCCAGGCAGCTATGAGGAGCTACGGGGAGTGCAAGGCAAGGCCTGGGCAACTACAAGGAGCTATGAGGAGAGCAAAGCGAGGTCTGGGCAGCTACGGGGAGAGCAAGGCGAGGCTCAGCCAGCTACAAGGACCTATGTGAAGGGCAAGGTGAGGCTCGGGCAGCTACGAGGAGGGCAAGGCTATGAGGAGGGTAAGGCAAGGCCCGGAAAGCTAGGAGGAGCAATGGTGAGGGCAAGGTGACGCCCGGACAGCTACGAGGAGGGCAAGGCGAGGCCCAGGCTGCTACAAGGAGGGCTGGGCGAGGGCTGTGGAGCTACAGGGAGGCCCGGGGAGGGCAGGGTGAGGCCCAAGAAGCTATGAGGAGGTCTGTGGAGAGCAGGGCAAGGTCCAGCGAGCTATGGAGAGGCCTGGGGAGGGCAGGGCGAGTCCTGGGCAGCTACAAGGAGGACTGGGCGAGACCCGGGGAGCTATGGGGAGGCCTGCAGAAGGCTGGGCAAGGCCGGGGAGCTATGGAGAGGTCTCTAGAGGGCTGGGTGAGGACCGGGGACAGTGTGAGAGGGGCTAGCATGACTCGCAGGCTTACTTGTGAGCAGACAGGAGCAGTTTCCCAAAGAGAGGGGCCGGGGACTTGCAAGCTTTTTGCTCTGCCGCAGCAAAATGCAGGCAGCAACCACTGGCCTGGGGGGCGGGCAAAAGCCGGCTGCAGGCATGTCACACATGCGCACGATGTTGCGTATTCACGAGATGGACTGACTGGGCAGCGAGTGGAGAAGCGGGCGGAGAGGGGCAGGGCCAGCTAGAGGCCCGATTTACTGGTTGTCCGAACTACCGGGAACCTTAACAACTGTTTCTACACACACACACACACACACACACACACACACACACACACTTACTTCTAACTCTGTTGGAGCAGTGAGTTGGACTAGAAAATGACCTCCAAGATCCCTTTTAGGCCAGTCCTAGAATGCTGTGCTGCTTCAAAGAGTCTTCTGAACACAGGGTTTGTGTCCTTCCTTCCTCTCCTTTTTTTCCTCTCTCCCTCCCTCCCTCCCTCCTTCCATGTATTTCTCTATCCCTCCATATATCTCATTCACTTCCATCTCTCTCCCTCTTTCTTTCTTTCTCTTTCTTTCTTTCTTTCTTTCTTTCTTTCTTTCTTTCTTTCTTTCTCTTTCCCTCTCTTTCTCTCTTCCCCTCTCTTTCTCTCTCTCTCTCCCCCTCTTCCCCCTCTTTCTTTCTCCCCCTCTCTCTTCCCCTTTCCCCCCTCTCTTCCTCTCTCTCTCTTCCCCCTTTCTCTTTCCCCCTCTCTCTTTCCCTCCCCCTTTCTCTCTTCCCCCCTCTCTCTCTTCCCCTCTTTCTCTCTCTTTCTCTCTCCTCCCTCTTCCCCCCTCTTTCTTTCTCTCCCTCTTTCCACCCTCTCTTTCTCTCTCCTCCCTTCCTCTCTCCCTCTCTCTCTCTCTCTCTTTCTGTCCCTTCCCTTCCTCCTTCCCCGTCTCCTTCCAAACCCACCTGAAACACACACATACACACACACCCAGGGGTGGGATTCTACTAGTTTGGCCCTATTCTATTGTACTCTGCCTATCAGAGAATAAGCCTGCAGGCAGGGACTGTGCTTTTTAATCTTTGTGCAAGGTCTTCAAAAAAAAAAAATACATACAATCAACAGAAACAAATAAGGCAGCTTAGAAACAAGAGGATGCTCAGAGGAATCCCAGTTCTATAGTATCATAGAATAAGAATAGCCCAGAAGAAAGGCAATAGAAGGAAGGGAAGGGAAGGGAAGGGAAGGGAAGGGAAGGAAGGAAGGAAGGAAGGAAGGAAGGAAGGAAGCTCCCTACTGAGGCCTGCAGAATCATGCAGCCTTTAACGTTTCAGATTGGTGACCCTTCCTAGACAAAACTGGTGCTTCTTCTTGTATCTACAGTACATGAGTTTCAGTCCCAAAGATGCTCCTTCTCCCCAGGAGTCCAACCTTAAATTCTGGATAAATAGTTCTGCACCCTTTCACTCTTTGTTCCTCAACATCCTTCTTACATTGTATCACAAGCTATTGAACCAGATCAGAACCAAGAACAACAGTTGTAGTTATGTAGATGTAAAAGAGACTGGAAACTTTACAGCCCTCAAACCCCAATCGAAGATCGCAGGCAAAACAGGAGCCTCAGGCTCAATACTTTTATCCCATGACACTCATAGCCAGATATTCTTTCTCTTCATTTGTGTCTCTGTATGTGACATTGTTGCGGAGAACTTACACAAACAAAACAAACTTTACAAGAATAATAACATCTTTAGAAATGATCCTTTCTTCAAAAAACTAGACATTAGGAACTGTGAATGGAGAAACTTTATTATTTACTTAGACTCTATATAACCTCAAAAATTCACCTGAAGGTAATAATCAGGCAACCCAAGACTGACAAATCAAAGTTAATGACTTCCATGAATGAACACAAAAAACATTTCAGAAATGTAACACTCAAACATCCCATGCTCTTAACAAAAATGAATTTGTAGCACAGAAGGGAAAATTCCAAACTTACAAATATTGTAAACAAAAGGTTCCTGATGCAATCAGGATCCGATGCCTGTATGCTGAATTTCTGTATGACCCCATTATTCCTTACATCTCTGTCACTCTGGGGGCAGCCACCCAGGGGTGGATTCTTTTTCTTTTCCCTCTCTTTCTTTCTCTTTCCCTCTCTCCCTCCTTTCTTCCCCCCCTCCCCCCCTCTCCCCCATCTCTTTCTCTCACTCACTCACACACAAACACACACACCTGGTCTGGGACAAACAGCTCCAGTCAGCAGCAGGAGGGGGGTAAAGGAAGAAAGGGGGGTGGTGGGGGTGGGGGTGGTGTGTAACTGCAATGGGACCTTGAGCAACCCCCCCACCCTAGTTGTTGCCGCTCCACAGAGAGAGGCTTTCGGAGGGCTGGGGCAGTGGGTGCTCACACTTAAAGCGGCAGGCAGGCTTTAAAGCAGCATGCTTAAAACGGCAGGCAGGCATGACAGGACCTTACAACAGGATCGCTTTAAGTGTGAGCACCCGCTGCCCCAGCCTTCCAAAAGCATCTCCCAGTGGAGGGCAATGGCTGGGGTGGGGGGTGCTCACGGTCCTGTTGCAGGGTCCTGTTGCAAGGTCCGGTCACGCCTAAAGCGGCAGGCAGGCATGATGGGACTTTGCAATTTGCGCTTTAGGTATGATGGGACCTTGCAATCAGACTCTGCAATGGGATCTTGAGCACCCCCCACCCCAGCCATCGCCATTCCACTGGGAGATGCTTTTGGAGGGCTGGGACAGCAGGTGCTCACGCTTAAAGCGGTAGGCTTTAAAGCAGCAGGTATGCTTTAAAGCCTAACTTTAAAGGCTCTGGGCTGCTTCTCTCACCTGCTCTTGCTGGGAGAGCCTCTCCTGGCAGAGCAAAAACTTTGCAAGTCTCCCTCCCTTCGGAAACGGCTCCTGGGCAGCAGAGAGAAACAAGATTCAACTGATTCCTGAAGGGAGGGGGACTTGTAAGTTTTTTGCTCTGCCGCAGCGAAAGGCAAGCAACAATGGCTGGCCTGGTGGGCAAAAGCAGGCCGCAGGCATGTCTCGCGTGCACACGATGTTGCGCATGTGCAATAGGGACTGACTGGGCAGAGAGCGGAGAAGTGGGCAGAGGGGTGGGGCCAGCCAGGGGGCTGTTTTACCGGTTCTCCGAACTACCGGGAACCATAACAACCAGTTCTATAGAACTGGTCCGAACCGGTAGAATCCCAGCCCTGGACTACACAGATGACTAAATCTTAACTGAAGGAAAAGAACATTCACTGAAAGATGTTTGGGATAATGCAGTTGGTATGTGTATTTGAGAATAACATTTGGGCAGAATAGGGGAGCAAAGGATGTTAAGCTATTGCAGGAATAGCTAAATGACATTACACTTTACATTCAGAGTATGTAAGCTATAGTTACTTAACTGTAGTTATTGCATGGCTGGATCATGGTTGGCATGTTTCTCCATACCCCTTATATCTAGCGTGAAAGGAGTCCTCAAACAGTTAATTTACTTCTACAATTCTTTTATTATGTCTTGCATAAAGACCACAGTTTTCATGTGGCTATAATTATTACTTTGTTTTCATTACATTTGATATTCTCTATTCTTACTCTGCTTCAATTGTTCATTCACAGGCATTGCCACTGTGTATGTTCGATACAAACAAGTCAGTGCTTTGAACCCTGAAGAACCTAAGTTGCTCAGACTCAATAAGGCTGGCTTAGCGTTTGGAATGGTTAGCTGTTTGGGGATTTTCATCATAGCAAACTTCCAGGTTTGTGTTTTGTCTATGATGATTGAATTACAAAAGTACATATCTTCATCATAAGACTGTAATAGCTTATTGTAAGCATCTACCCAAATGAAGCTTGATAAGAAAAATATGTGTTTTATTATTTGACATTAGGAACATCATTTTTTCCCACCATTTCTTCCATGCTTCCAAAAAAAGAAACGGCACAAGATGCACAATATATTTTGAATAGTATGTGTTTACTTGGAAGCAACTTTAATAGGTATTGATTGGCTTTTGCAATATGGTTGGATACTGAGGATGTTTCTGTAGCTATTTCTTAATTTTATTTACCATAAGCAATAGTATATAAATCAAATAAATGTAAGTTACTTTTAAGTTTCCAGGACAAACTGCTGGTATTTGGAATGGTTTTACTTTATTTAGATCATATTTTTAAAATGGATATATTTTCAAGCAAAACAGTACATTATTAATATAATTAAGTTAAATAAAAAGGATTTATTTCAGTACAAATAAATCTCAGTTTCTGATAAATGTTTTCTCAGTAATAACAATTTAGCAGAATATATCAGTCCTGACAACTAGCAAGCTATGCCTTGAGAAAGTAACAAATACAGCACAGTATTTGGCATTGCTGGAATAAACATCAGCATTTTTTACATTTCTCTTAAAACAGTCTGCATTTGCCGGTAATATTCTTTATTACTTATTTGGTCTATATAATTTTCCAAACAAATATAATTTAAATCAGCAGTTGCCAACTGGTGGGCCACGGCCCACTGCTGGGCCATGGAAAAATTTTGGTGGGCCGCAGAAGAAATGGCCCCCGAAGGCAATTAATCTGGGCTGCACAGTTCTCGCGTCTCCCGGCTCTTTGAGGGACCTTGGAGTCAGGTCCCTGAGATGCACGCGCCAACCAGCTCCCATACCTGGTGGGTGGCGGCAACAACAGCCCCCTCCCCAGCGCCCACTGTTAGCTCTCCCCATTAGTTCTCTAGCTTTGAATTGCTCCTGCCTCTCTCTCTTTCCTTCCCCCCACACCCACGTGCAGACAGGCAAGGAAAGGGAGATGGAGCTGTGCGCAGCTCTCGGCTCCTCCAGCCCTTGCTGCCTTTTCCAACATCGAAGCCTCAGAGATGCAGGCAAAACCACTGCAGTAGTAGTGCCCTGAGCTGCTTGCTTCTCCACTACTGCCACCTCCTCCTCCAGCACCTCCTTCTCTGGGTAGGGAGATTCTGCACTAATGCTAAGGCAACTCAAGCGCTACTGCGGCAGCGGCTTTGCCTGCATCTCCGAGGCTTCGATGTCCCTCGAAAAGTGGGACATCAAAGCCTCGAAGAGCTGGGAAGCATGAGAACTGCTAGTGGGAGCGTTTGGTGATTTTGAAGAACTACTAGAACGTGGTGGATTGGTGTTTTGTAGGTCCCTGTGAAAGAGTGAGCTTTGTTTCAACTCCTTTCCTCCCCTGGTAATGCGAGGTATGCTTTTTTCTCTCTCTCTCTCTCCCCCCCTCCCCCCCCCCCCAATAATCCCTCCCCGTGGCTGGGTTTGGCCCCAGCCCCCAGGCGCGGGAGAGGCCCCCCCGGGCCCCCTTCCCTTGCCTGTCCCCGGGGGGGGGCGGAAGGGCCCCCCCCCCCCCCGTTTTTCCTCAGCTGCAGATCTGAGCTCTCTCAATCCTCCACCCGGGATCTGAAAAGAGCTCCCGTTTTCTCCCCCTCCCCTCCCCCCAATTAATCACCAAGGGCAGCAATCCTTCTGTAGGCAGATGCCTGCTGAGAAGCTCCTGGAATGGCGGCGAAGGAGAGCAAAGCCCCCTTTCTGCCTCTGCTTCTCACAGCGGCAGTTGCCCCAAGGCCCCTCAGCTCCGCTCTTCAGTCTCTTTGGAAGGTGCAGGCGGGGGGAGGTTTCCAGCCCAGAACGTTTTATTTTGTTATCATTAAGCATTTATGTTTTTGTTGTAATTAAGTAAGTGTGTGTGGTATGTATGTATGTATGTATGTATATGTATGGTATTCAGCTTTGTTCGGGTATTTTCCCACGTCATTAAAACCGAACTACACATTCTCACTAACGTACTAACAGCCAATGGATTCCAAAGAAAGAAGATTACCCACCTAATCCAAAAAGAAACCCCAACCAAAATCTAAGACAGAGAACAAGAGAACGGCAAAGCCCTCCTCCCATATATAAAAGGCACTACAGACAAAATCAGCAAGATCCTCCAAAAACACAACATTAAAACAGCATTCTGCACAAACAGAAAAATATCCACCATCCTAAGAAACCCTAAAGACAAAATTGAGTTAGAAAACAAAGGAGTATACGAAATCCCTTGCACCGCCTGCCCCACCACATACATCAGACAAACTAACAGAAGAATAAGTGCACGCATTGAAGAACACAAGAACCCAATCAAAAAAGAAGAACCGACCTCTTCCCTGGTCCAACACCTCAAAGCCACAGGACAGGAGATTGACTTTAAAAATACCAGAACTGTCACCAAACCCGAACACTTCAACAACAGAATAATCATAGAAGCCATAGAGATAGAAAAACGCCCACACAGCATGAATAAACGAGATGATACCTCCCGCCTACCAGCCATTTGGAAACGCGCTCTCGTGAACTTCTACAAGCCTGATGATGGCAGATGAGATTCTGCCGAAACGTTGCTACAACTTTAAAAGCACAACTACAATGACGTGGGAAAATACTCGAACAAAGCTGAATGGCATACATGTAAGTACTCGCGAAAACTTAAGAAAATACATACATACATACATACAAATACATATACATATACATATATATATATATATAATATTATAATAATATAATATTATAATATAATATATAATATAATATAATATTTAATATAATTTTTTAAAAATATTAAATATATTAACTTTTTTAAAAAATTGCATTAGTGGTCCTCAGGATTTAAAAGTATCATTTTGGTTGTCCCTGAGGTCCAAAAAGTTGCCGACCCCTGGTTTAAATAGATCAAATACAGTTTGTGTCATGAACGGTAGATGTCAGTGTAGAATGAAAATAATGAGAAGAATGAAATTTTAAAAAATCTCACAGTGATTAAGAAGAATGTAGATAATTTACTGCATATTTAAAACCTTTTCCCCTTGAATAAATACTATGATTGTAACTAAATGTAATTAGATTTAAGCTGTTAGATGCTGTCTGAAGATATTTATTTTGTGGAAAATAATTGATTTTTTTTTTAAGACAAAATTATATTTCTTATCAAAATTATGTAAAGTATTTTTTCTGCTCTAGGAGGTGCCCTTCTTTCCATAAACAGATTGTTTATTAGCATTAATTAATTACAAATCTCTCATTCCCCATAATTAGGTTTGAAACACAAACAGTATTTAAAAATACTTTATAGGTTTATTTGTTACATTTGTACTCCTTTCCTCTAAGTATTATTCTATAGAGTCCAATGGAATACGTCAAGACAAAAAAACATCAACTGGCCAAAGTAATTTATTGGGTTTTATGGCCAAGTATGAATTTGAATCTCAGGCTGTTTATTCTCAATGTTCCATACTTAATTCCTTCACCACAATACTTCATGAAGAACAAATGAATTACTAATCACTACTCAGAAGTAGGTGCCACTTTGAATGTGATGTTAGAATCTGGCATTTCTTACTGTGATGACAGTAATATTTGCTGTTGAGATCTTACATTTTGGGCTTAAAATGAAAAATAATTGCTGCAACGTATTCCTTTAGAGCCAAAAGACAGATGACCATTATAATGTTGAGTTTGGGAGGAAGAAGAGTTTATATCCTTGAAACTTCGTCTTTGGTTAGTCACAATTTATCTCTTAGGGGTAGTCATTGTGAGACATGTCTGAAAACACATAATGTAGAAAGCTGTTAGAAGTTAAGCTGTTCTTGCTTGATGAATTAATTGGAAATGACACATAATCGTGCTGAACTCAGTGAAGGATAAGCACAATATAAATGACACATTTTATTTATTTGTAAAATTTATTGGCCGTCAATTTTACACCAGGATTACTCTGGGCAGGTTGCAATCATAAATAATCTTTTGGCTATAGAATCGAGTCAGTATTTTCAATTACTGTTATAATAAACCAAAATGCAAAAGAAGGGTTAGATTTAGAGAATTTTAAATAAATACCTCCATGCCATCAGCAAAGTGTTTGTATCTTATAATTCTGTGAAGAATATTGCCCCCTTTGATTTTTTTAATGAATTTTTGCATATAATTTGCCACTGAATATTAGTATATACTGATATTTAAAGTCTGAGTGAGCAGATAAGTGCAACATTTAGTGCCTATTTATTTCATATTTTATTTGTGAAAAAGCAATTTGCTCCATCAAGTCAGTACTGTAATTTGTTTCATGCATTTGGAATCTATTATAACAATATATCATAACCATAATTATGAGTCTTTTACAATGCGGCACAGGCAATTTTGTCCATTCTTAACATTGTAATTTGTTTAAAATCACTCATATTTGGGATCTCTTGCAAAACTACTTTCTTTTAAGCCCTGGTGAATTTCTATGGAGTTTTAGACACTCATTGAACCTTTCAGAAATATTTTGACTCATTTTATTCTGTTCCATTCATCCTGTTGTAGACTTAATTGTAAGTTTGGGATCATTGCTTTGATCTATGATCCATTTTCATTTCAGCTTATGGGCTGATTATCTATGAAATGATCTACAAACAAAATTCATTCTGTCTTCAGTGATGGCTATTGTCCTGAAGTAATAAAAATATTCTGTGATATTGCCATATTCATGCTTGACAGCTGGTTCTTACCAAATTCAGTGTTTTGTTTCCCCCAAATAGCAATTATGTAGCCTATAAAGCTCCCCTTGATTTATGTATCCTCCTGAAATCTAGTTCCTTCTTTAGTTGTTGGGTTGTTGTTGTTTTGCAAACTTCAGAAAAGTTTGGTTTTAGTGAGCAAACAACCTTGCTTCTTCCCCACAAATCCCATTTTACCTAGTGATCTTATCTTGGAATCATAAACACTTTTAAAACAAACAAGAGAAACTTGAAAATCCTTGGATGTTGTCCTTTTTTGTGTGTGTATGATTTCATGGACAATTTTATGATGTTCTCTTAGAACAATTTTGACAGGATAGCCACTCTTCAGAAAATTCAGTAATATACCCATTTCACACAACGTTTCTGAAGTGAAATGGTAGAGCATCAGACTTTTCAAAATTGTTTTACAACCTATCTCAGACAAATAGGCATCGATTTGTTTTTAATGGACATCTTTAGTAATCTCTTATCAATCCTGAATATTTAATGAACATTGAACTTTGGAGCTAGAATCCCTTTAATTGAACTGATTAAACCAGGAGCCACATAAATTATTTACCGTGGCACAATGAATATAAGATGTTTAGGAAATAAATGACGTCAGGACTCTAAATGTCAGGTTTACATTTTTCCTTCAAATTCCCTTCTATATCAACAGAAGCTCTAATAACATTCAGTGGCAAAGATACACACTCAGAAAAATTTAAAAAGCCAATTATTTTTTTCACATAATTATAACTTGGCAAAAGAAAATGGGAAAAACATTTTCTTAAATTAATCATTTAGTTGGGTGGATATTGTTGTAGTTTGGGGGAAAAAGACTCATTAAATAAAGTTGCCTTCTTTGACCAAAAGTGCTGTCTTTAGGTTACATACCATTACAATATTTTTTAAAATTTTTTTATTGGTTTTTAAAGCAAACAAAAACGAACAAAACATAAAAACATCAAATCATCTTCCATGTATGTACATACAGTGTGCCGGTTGATTTACAAATTGTTTTGTGCTTCCATTTCGTAGTCTTCGATTACAATTACATTGTATATAATCTCGTATTTTCAATCAAATATTAAATACATTAATATCATTATTAATCATTTGACTATACTTTTATTCATTCATGCTTTACAAAATAATCATATTTTACTTAATTTGTTTTATGACAGTTCATATTATCATCCCAAATCTATCCTAGAATCATTTTGTAGATATAATAAAAGAATACATCTTTATATATTTAGTGTTTTCTAAAAGTCTACATATTTCATTACTATATTTTATTGTCTAATCATTGATAGAATAGATCCCAAATTTTATAAAATTGTTTATCATCTTGTTCTCTAATTTCAAATGTCAATCTACTCATTTCAGCACATTCCAATATTTTCTTAATGATTTCCTCCTGTGATGGTATTTTCTCATTTTTCCAGTTTTTAGCAAATACAATCCTAGCCGCTGTTAATACATTTACAATCAGGTATTTCAAGTCTTTACTACATATTTCAGGTAAAATTCCCAATAAAAATATTTCTGGTTTCAAATCTATATGCTTTTTTGTCATTTGTTTCCAACCACGTGTGGATTTTAGTCCAGTATTTTTTAGCATCCGCACAAGTCCACCACATATGGTAATATGAGACAGGTATCTGATGACATTTCCAACGTTTTTAGGATTTATTCTTCAACATTCTTGCTATTCTTGTCGGGGGGAAAGTGCCACCTGTAAAACATCTTACACAAATTTTCTTTATATGCTGTTGACATTGTCATTTTATAATTTTGAGACCACAATTTTTGCCATTTCTCTAGATCAATCCCATATCCAAAATTCTTCCCACAAGCAATCATAGTTTCTTTAACTTGTTCTTCTTCTAGTTTAATTTCTAATAAATATCCATACAATTTTTTAATCATTTTTTCATCAGTACCTGTCAAAATCTTATCTAAGTCAGTCAATTTATCATAGAAACCTTCTGTTTTAGAATCTTTATCATACTTTGAATGTATTTGCACATATGAAAACCAATTCATCTTTATACCTTATTCCTCTAGTTTTTGTATAGATTTAAGTTCACCCTTTTCATTCAATATTTTACCATATCTAACTGTTTGTTCCTTTTTGTATATTATAGGATAAGAAAATGCTTCAGTAGTCGATAGCCAGACTGGAATTTTCAAATAACATTGTCTTTTAATCTTCTCCCAATTTAAACACAGAGACTCCCGTATATAATGTCTTCTGAAGTACCCGTGTTTTAGTTCCTTTATACCATAAAATACCATTACAATATTGTTCTTAATTAGAAATAATGAACTTACAATAATTATAGATCTCTAGGTTTTTATAGTGGTTTGTAGATTTGTTATTGAGCCAAAGTATTTGTTATTGAGCCAAAGTTCTGGTAATTTTGAGAGATTCTTTTCAAAGATTCAGTTTTGTCATATTGTTTGACCCTTTCAAGTATTACCCCGGTATTCTCTAATAACTATTGAATTATGTTATCTTCCTGTAGAAAAATGTTATATATGTCATACATGCAGTTGGAGCTTTTCTCGTATTTGGAATTGGAATCATATATTTTCTGGTTCAGACAATTATTTCCTATAAGATGCAACCACAAATTCATGGGAAGGATATTTTTTGGATCAGATTTACAATACTGCTATGGGGCACAGTAAACCTAGTGATTTGTATCCTTTGTGGTAAACCAGTGTAAGTGATGAATGTGGGGTATTTCTTAAAAGTTTATTTTAAATGAAACATGCTTTATCTTCAGGTGGCTAAAATGACTACTTGTTATAACAGTACTATAAAAGATCACAAAATATGTTTCCCAGAGAAATAATAATAATAAATAATTAGACTATTGCAACAAAAACAAGCGTCACATGACTTATATATTGTGATGCTTTTTGCCTTTGCAGAGCCATGGCTTGCACATGACCCATCCAGCCCCTGGCCTGCCGGGATAGCATAATTTTATATTGCAAAACTAACACATACTGCATACAGTTGTGTTCATAAGTTTACATACCCTGACAGAATTTATGATTTCTTGGCCTTTTTTCAGAGAATATGAATGACAACACGAACACTTTTCTTTCACTCATGGTTAGTGGTTGGCTGAAGCCATTTATCAACCGTGTTTACTCTTTTTTAAAAACATAAATGGCAACAGAAACTTCCCAAATGACCCTGATCAAAAGTTTACATACCCCAGTTCTTAATACGGTGTATTGCCCCCTTTAACTTCAGTGACAGCTTGAAGTCTTTTGTGGTATGTGTGGATGAGCTCTTTATCTTCTCAAATGGTAAAGCTGCCCATTCTTCCTGGCAAAAAAACTCCAGTTCCTGTAAATTCTTGGGCTGTCTTGCATGAACTGCACGTTTGAGATCTCCCCAGAGTGGCTCAATGATATTGAGGTCAGGAGACTGAGATAGCCACTCCAGAACCGTCACTTTATTCTGCTGTAGCCAATGACAGGTCGACTTGGCCTTGTGTTTAGGATCATTGTCATGTTGGAATGTCCAAGTACGTCCCATGCACAGCTTCTGGGCTGATGAATGCAAATTTTCCTCCAGTATCTTTTGATAACATACTGCATTCATCTTGCCATCAATTCTGACCAAATTTCCTGTCCCTTTGTAGCTCACACATACCCCAAACATCAGCGATCCACCTCTGTGTTTCACAGTAGGAATGGTGTACTTTTCATCATAGGCCTTGTTGACTCCTCTCCAAATGTAGCATTTATGGTTGTGGCCAAAAAACTCAATTTTGGTCACATCATTCCAAATGACTTTGTGCCAGAAGTTTTGAGGCTTGTCTCTGTGCTGTTTGGCATATTGTAAGCGGGATACTTTGTGGCATTTGCATAGTAATGGCTTTCTTCTGGCGACTCGACCATGCAGCCCATCTTTCTTCCAGTGCCGCCTCATTGTGCATCTTGAAACAGCCACAACACATGTTTTCAGAGAGTCCTGTATTTCACCTGAAGTTATTTGTGGGTTTTCTTTGCATCCCGAACAATTTTCCTGGCAGTTGTGGCTGAAATTTTAATTGGTCTACCTGACCATGGTTTGATTTCAACAGAACCCCTCATTTTCCACTTCTTGAGTAGTGTTCGAACACTGCTGATTGGTATTCTCAATTCCTTGGATATCATTTTATATCCCTTTCCTGTTTTATACAGTTCAACTACCTTTTCCCGCAGATCCTTTGACAATTCTTTTGCTTTCCCCATGACTCAGAAGCCAGAAACGTCAGTGCAGCATTGGATGAAAGATGCAAGGGTCTGTCAGGAGTCTAGGAACTCATTGACCTTTTATACACACACACTAATTACAAGCAAACAGATCACAGGTGAGAATGGTTACCTTTAATAGCCATTCAAACCTCTTTGTGCCAACCTGTGTACATCAAAAATCACCAGGGTATGTAAACTTTTGATCAGGGTCATTTGGGAAGTTTCTGTTGTCATTATGATTTTAAAAGATTTAAAAAATTTAAATACAGTTGATTGATAATAAATGGATGGCTTCAGCCAACCACTAAAAACGAGTGAAATAAAAGTTTTTGTGTTATCATTCATATCCTCTGAAAAATGGCCAAGAAATCATAAATTCTGCCAGGGTATGTAAACTCAGGAGCACAACTGTAGTATGATTTTTTTTAAAAAAATTATTTATTTATATAACAAAATATATAAACTGCCTATCTTAATATCAAAGTGACTCTGATCAGCAATTTTTTTATCACTATCATGAGTTTCACTTGGCTTCATTATTTATTGCCCTTATGAATGTATTTTTCCCAGGATAATATTTCATGCACCTGATTACATGTATTTGAATCTTAAAAAGTATATGGCATAATTTGTTAATATTCATTGTGTTCATATTTATTTCATTCATGTTACAAGTGTTCATTGTGAAAAGGATTTCATAATGTAGTATTTTACAAGAATAGGTAAAACTTTACCCGTAATTTATATATCATTTTATATTATATACAATATATCTATACCTATACCTACCTACCTACCTACCTGTCTAGATAGATAGATATTAATTTTTAAGATTTGTATTACTGTTAGAATCCCTGATTTCTGTTGATTATTTTCTCAATTGCATCCTCTTAATCCATATCTCATGGGTTTATGAGAATCCCCTGATCTTTAACAATTTTCTAGATGAGTGAAATGCCATGATTGTATATTTTACTGACTGGCCTTCAGATGGGACATTTGCTGCATTGTTGGCACATTTCAAAAGGATGGGGCAAACTAGACATAACTTTAAAAATAATTTAAACTAAGGATTACACCATCCCTTCTTAAAACTTCTAGGGTGTACAGCCTTTAAATTAAAAAAAGCAAGTGGGGATGAATAAGAATGGATGGAGCATAAAGTTATTTCCTTTGTATTTCAAAGATATTCCTTAATGATTAAAGTGATTATTTGTACATTGATTTTAATCAGCTTAATTGGAGTAGATTACATAAAGATGCAGCGTTGGAATCCCCAGGAGGAAGTAAGTTTGGTTTTTCTTAAAAGACAACAGAGAGAAGACATAAATGAAATGGGTCAAGTGCATGAAGAAAACATTCCAAGATATTCTTAATGTACCGTAGTGTTTATATATGGTTTCCCCAAAATATATACTTAGTTCTGCACACACAAACATAAACAGTTGGTGTCATTACTACAATTTAAAAGATATCCAGGATAGCTTGTCTAGCCTCTTTAATATTAATAAAGCTAGTTTAATAAAGTAAGGTTTTCTGCTGAATCAGGGCGAAGTTTTATTCCTAGATGTTATTGAGAAATTCAAAGACAGGACATGAACAAAAGGTCTTTTATTTTGACCCTCAACAAGTAGTATAATGCCTGTCAATATGGAGAAACTGTGTTTGTGTATTTGTGTGTATGTGTAGACACACAAACCATGTTTAATAGCCATTAATAACTTCCATTGAGAATTAGGTAATTATTTGTCTTATTCCCCCTTTTTTGTTATATTTT